TTAGCATCCAGGTTTACAGCCGGCCTAATTTGACAACGTTCTTCATTAAGTTAAAAATTAAGTACAATAGGCGTCCTGCAATAGGTTGTTACAGCACGTTGAACAATGAACCCCAAATGGTGGATGTCCACCGAAATGCAAGAAGGTTGGCAACCCTAGTGTCAGTGTAATAACGTGGAATAAATTATTGTTGTGTTAATTGGACTTTGATTTTGGAATAAACTAACTCAAGATTTAATGTCATGCACCCTCTAGAGCTGTGACAATATTATAACTGGCCCTCCTAGAGCTGAAATTGAATTAGAAATTAGAAATATATAGCACTCTAATGTTACTTTATGTCACTATTCTAAATTTAAAATTGAGCTTAAGGGTCGATTTTTTTACTTCTAGAATTGAATTCAACATTAAAAATACTATTTGCCTTTACTAGGACTGTAATTTATGTCCATTTCAAAAAAAAGTTGAACGTCAGATGTGTAAAACTGTCATTTTAAAGCCAAAATTCAATCTTGGAAGTCTCGAAAACTTATGAGATCTGAAATTCAATAAAAGGTGGTATGACTGTAATGTGTGAAACAACAAGGTCATTTTTGACCCTCTTTATTTGTTTATTTATTTAGTCTGTTTAAAGTGCACACTACAGAAAAATACTAAATGGTATGCTGAAAATGTAACAAATTGAACAATTACAATAGTTATGCCCGTATTATACATCCGTGCATTCATTCATGTAGTTCAGGGTGCCAACATTATTTTGTTTTTCATAATGCTGATTTATGTTACGTTTGAAGTTTTTCGGTTGTCACCCTGAAATACATGAACGAACACACTGAAAAACACACAATACGGTGCAATAGTAATAGAATACAAATATAAAATACAAAATATAAACACAAATATAAAACATAAAAAGAGAAACGAAAAAAAAAAAACAATGGTATATAACAAACTCACGAAATAAAGGTAAAAAGTAATGTAGAAAGTAACCTAGATTAAATTAGCAAATCTGGCTTTTTAATTTAGGTAGAGTGATCTTAAAAATGTCTATATCACTAAAGTGTATGTTGTAGTTTGTGACTAGTCTAGTAACAATTGCACTCTGCCCATAATTTGTTTTGTGCCTTGGTTGATAGAATAGTAGCCTCTGTCTAGTTCTTAGAGATGGTACTAGAAATCCTACTTGTTCTAGTAGTGCCGGGCAGTCTATCAAATTGTTGAGGAGTTTATAGAGAAACACTATCAGGGAGTTTCTCCTGCGAGTTTCTAAACTTTTCATTCCACAAAATGCAAATCTAGTGTAATAGTCCAATTGTCTATATGGAAAGTTTAATTTGAAGAGCAAATATTTTGCAAATTTACTTTGGACCCTTTCAATGCGGTTGACATGGATATTGTAGCTTGGGCTCCAAACAATGCTGCAATATTCTAGCAAGGATCTTAACAGGCAGTTGAACAGGCATTTTATCGCTTTCACGTCGTCAATGTCTTTGGTGTTCCGCTTTATGAAGCCTAATAGTCGGAATGCTTTGGTGATAACATGGTCGATGTGATTATTGAAAGTCAGTGTGTTATCAAAGATGACATCTAGATCCTTTATTGGGTTGACAGTTTCTAGCTCTGTTATTTATTCTGTAAACCGTAGTAAGCGGATTTTGGATTCGGTAAAATGACATATGTTCACACTTCCCAGCATTAAGATGAAGGTGGTTTATTCCACACCATCCTACAAATTGATTGAGTGTCTGTGTTGTTTGATTGACGGTACAGAAGATTTTCATGTCGTCAGCGTACAGAAGGCAATGAGCATGTTTAAAATGACTCACTGCGTCATTGATGAACAGTAGAAATAGGACCGGACCAATATGTGAGCCCTGGACGACCCCTGATGTGACTTCGATGCTATCAGAGTATGCTCCACAGACTCTGACCTTTTGTCGCCTATCCTGCAAGTAGGAAGCAGTCCATTGGAGAAATCGATTATTGAAACCAATATCTTGCAGTTTCTTCAGAAGAATGGAGTGGGACATACTGTCAAAAGCTTTGGCTAAGTCTGTGTAGATGAAGTCCACTTGTTTTCCAGCTTTCGTTGCGGAGATTAGGAATTGTTGGAAGCAAGCTAAATTTGTAGCTGTAGAACGGTTCTTGCAAAATCCATGTTGATGGATTGATATGTAATTTTTGTAAGTTTGGCTGATGTCGTCTGTCAGGATGAATTCCATTATTTTAGGTAGGAGTGATAGAATAGAGATCCCTCGGTAGTTTCTAACATCCTTTTTGTCACCCGATTTGTGAATTGGGGTTAGAGAAGACATGTTTCCATCGGTCCGGCACAAGGCTTGAGTTGAATGACATTTGAAATATTTTGCAGAAAGGACTGACCAGAGAATCTGCGCAGTTTTTCAAGAAATTTGGAGGAAGTCCGTCAGGGCCGGCACACTTGGATGCATCCAGTTTGCTTATTTTTGCTTTGATTTCTTGGGCGGTAAAAGTGTGGTCTGCTAAGTGCCCTCCAAACAGCACGGAGTGTTGCTCGTTAGCTGTTACTGAGCTATGATCTGAGTAGCAGCTTTCAAAGTGTTCGGCAAAAAAATTTGCTATTTGAGTAGGATTGGTGGAAGAAGATCCATTAAAGCGCATTTCAGATGGTAGACCGTAGTTTCTATTAAGTGATTTAACATAAGACCAGAAGTGTTTAATATTGCCAGGAATCATGTGCTCTGTTATTGTGATATGCAGAAGGTAACATATTTCTGTACGGTATTTAACCTCCCTCCGCGCTTCAGAGTCGGATTGATAATCTGGAGTTGACCGGGATTTCCGGTATTTCAGGTTTGGTTTTTTCTTTCTATGAGGTTCCCGAGGTGCGAGTTGAACCATTTGGGATATTTGTCTAATCTCATGCGCTTCTTGGGTACAAATCGATCGATGCCTTGAAAGATAGCATCATAGAATTTATTAAGTTTTACATTGATGCTGTCTCCTGTTAGGTTCAAGAACTCCCAGTTGTAGTCATTGTAAAACGCATTCAGTTATTGGAAATCATCAGCTTGTCCAAACTGAAAGACTGACAATTTTTCATCAGATTTTAGCGTGGGAGTAGATTGGATTTTGAATATCAGTTCCGGTGGAGGGACACTGTTAAGCTGGTCAAGTTATAAGAGGCTCATTCCAACGACAAGAGCCGTTTCGCTATCACTATGTGGGTCAACTCCGGTAGTATAAGCAGTCCTCATCTTGGATCCATTCAAGATGTGGTAGGTTGAAGTCTCTAAAAATTATGAAGGAAGCACTGGCGTGTCTCTGTTTAAGTGATTCACAAGTATCACAGAGGAACTTGTAATGTTCTGATGGCGAGTTCGGAGTAATATAGACGGCTCACGGCCCCTATAATTAAGTCCTTGATTTAATGCTTGCAGTGTAGTGTACCCAAAACTGTTCAAATAATGTTGTTTGCGCTATCGGAGTTACTGAACTTTGTATGTGCTTTTTTACTGCTATGAGTACGCCTCCTCCTCTTGCAGTATTTAAGGTTGCATATAGTCGCGGTTTAAAGACCATGTACTCACAAGAGAGCAGTTTTGCATCTGAGAAGCCTTATTCGTTTAGCCAGGTTTCAGTGATGACTATTATATCCAAGTTTGAAGCTACTGAGTTTGTCGAAAGTTGGTGGGTAACAGCTGACAGTTTCGTCTATGTTGCGCAAGTTGGAGGTTGGGCGGTGCATGTGGCAGTTATTGTTGGATTGTGCGGCGAAAAATTCTTGGACCTCGTGCTGAGAATCTCCTGTTTGGCCCCCGAGCTGAGGTGAATCTAGTATTTGGACGAAAGGATCGAAATCTTGTAACTTCCACAACAAAAGGTCATTTATTGGGATCCAGTAGAGAAGTTTCCATATCTTTATTTACTTTGACTTTGAAGCCTTTGTAGTCTCCTGACTTTGTATTGATTTCCTCCAGAGTGTATTCTTGATCATTTGCAAAAGTCCTTTGTAGGTATAGCAGCAAGTTTTCCTTGGTGACATTGTTGGAGAGCTTGCGAACAAATATGGAAGCTTTGGGAGAGATTTCAGCAGTTGATATTTAGAAATTTTCTGGCGTCCTAGTTCCAGTGATCGCTGGACGCCCTTGTTTATTCTGATGTTGTCTGGCTACTGTTTTTTCTGGGCGTCCCATACAGTTGGCCTGCTTGTGGAGGTGGTTTGAAGTTGAGGGGCTTTGTTCCTGATTGTGGCTCGTAGAGTTTGGATTCGTCACGGTTGTGGTCAAAAATCTTATTTGTTTCTCAAGTGAGGAGAATCTGTCCTCAAATGTGTCCAATATTTTCTTGTGTAGATCGTTAAAAAAAAAAGCTGATTCAGAGTGGTGTAAGTCTTGTATAGAACTGCGGCGACTATAACGTTCTTCAAGTTGTAAATTTCATGTTTTAGCTCTCTGTTTTCCGCAGCATATTGTTCGCCTTCAACTTGCAATTTGAGAGCTTCAATCTCCTCTGTATTCTGCATTGGCTTTTAGCTGTGCAATATAGCTATCACATTTTTCCTGTAAAGCTTATTACTAGTTCCTTCCGCTTCGACTCAAGTTGTGATTCAAGTTAGAGCAGATAAAACCATAAATAAAGCCCTTTAACAGAGGAAAAATTATAAGACTCTCCCTCTTCTAGGCAATTCTAGATGCGACGACGCTCTATAAAACGGAATCGGCCGCCAAGGAACAGTCTAGACAACTCAAACTGACTGTTTTAAGACATACCTACTCAAGATCACTTTATGTATCTACAAGCTTTAATGTTCAACTAATCATCAAACCACCACTGAAGATTAAATAAGATTGCAATTGAATTTTGTTTCCTATTTTTTCTAATATATTTCCTTGATAATAAATTAACAATAATTATTTTTAATTCTCACCTCCTCTTTTTCCCTTTCTCTTTTACGCCATCAGTGCTCGTGCTCCATCCCAAAGCCCGAGCAACAAAACAAATTAGTTTTAGTTTGGACTTTGTTAATGAATGAACGATTTTACGTTTCGTGTCGCGGGTCGTAGATATTTTGTTTTGTAGTACCGTTTTAAAAGGTTAATAATTGGACTTTTTTTTTTCTACAATGGAACTTATGTGACAATAATTTCGGTGCAAAAGTGATTTATTATCCGGATATTATAATACTTAGATTGGAATAATTGAAATCTACAATAATTGTATGTATATTTGTGATTTTTTGTAATAAAAATCAATTAGCGCAAATAAGTTGACGTCAAAGTGTAGTGTGTGTGTGTGTGTGCGAAAACAAAGTTCAAAATTTTATTTTTAATCCTGCAAAATTAAAATTATTTTACCTTTTACATAAGCAATTTTATAATTTTAAAAATAATGGTAGGTTTTTCAAAAGTCCACGTATTAGTTTACAGATGTAAGTAAACAAAATCAGGAAATTTTAAAGGAGGTCAATTAAGTATTTGTGTTAAAAATAGAATTTGTATGTTTCAAATATAATTTAAAATTGTAACTTCTAAAATCCCTGATTTCTATCTAGTAGGCCATGAAACAAAGACACAGATTCGTATCTTTCAGGCCAGGTAATACTTAAACATAAAAGAGCTATTTTGCGGCATCTGGTTTTCAGTACATTTTCTCTATGGGCCAATAATACAACCTGGGGTTTATTGACCCATAGAGTCACGATGAACCAGGTAAAGATTTGAGATGGACAAAGTCGAGTTTACTTTGTTCTGTAGCTCATAACAATCATATTTATGGAACTGTTTTATAAAAGTTTATTTTTGTTTTGAAAATCAAAAAATTGTAAGAACATCTAATATAACTTCCCATATTGTACAGCAAAGTTGATATTTTTGTCTCTGCGGTGACGAAAAATCTTTTATAAGTTAATTGAAATTAGGAATCAAAGTAATTTCTGAAACTTAAGTTAGTTTCTATGTTATTTTTGATTCCATTTTGGCTGTGAAATACAAAATTATCTCTTGTATACTAAAATCTCTCCCGCACAGAGTCCCCACTTAATTCAGATATTTATTAGGCTACAAGTCTAAACATTGTGAACCAGAAAAGTGTATATAACTTTGATTTTTGTTAGTGTGAAGTTATTAGGGTTGCCAGGCGTCCTGGATTTCGCAGGATGTCCTGGATTCAGGGTCTTGCGTCCTGCGTCCTGCCGGAGTTGTCCGTAGGACACCAGATGTCCTGCATTTCATAAAATCCTTACTCTTAGAAAATATTTTAAAAAAATTACCTACTTTTATTTCTGCTGAGTTATTTTATAATTTAACGTAAGGCGCGAAAATGCACCCGCGCGGTACTCCATGCGAAGATTCACCACAAATTCATCAATAGGAACGCGGCGTACGCGTAAGCGGCATGGCGTGCATCATTTTGCGGCATGCGGCAATCATTTTACCAATCATAGAAGAATATAAGCGCAGAGCGCGATCAAGATCTTGCAGCTCAAACTCTTGGGGGTGGCGCGTTGCGCGCATTATTTTGATAATTCCTTCTGTTCTTGTAACAACTTGTTTAGTGTTTATTGTTTATTCAAATTAATTTTGATGTTCTTGGTAAGTCTGTAGGTCCATGATTATAAGTGAAGCCATGCGCCATGCCATAATATAGGTATGCAGTTGGGTCGAACAAAGGCTAGTTCAGTAGCCTTCAATGTTCTAGGCCCCTTTTCGATAATCTACATTGAAAGAGCTGCGTACCAATAATACATTTTTTGGAATTTCGACAGATGCTTCAAATCACGGTAGTGACAAACTTTTTCCGATACTACTTAGATATTACGTACCGACTGAAGGCATCAAACTATGTCTTCTCGACTTTTTTGAGGATCTCGATGAATCCGCCAATGCATTATTATTTAACATATTTTTGGGTAGGTATTACAAATATTATTTTAGGAAAATAAAAAAGTCCTGATTTTTTCATTACTGTCCTGCATTTTCTCAACACATGTCCTGCGAATTCAATTTTCAAACCTGGCAACCCTAGAAGTTATCCATAAAATCTCAGCCATAAAACTCAACCTACTTTTAACTATACCGGCCGGATTCTCATAAATTCTGGGGGCTGTTTCTGCTATATTGGAAATAACTATGAATGTTAACTACTACTTCTAGCAATAAACAAAAATTAGTTTTGTGTAATGCCCCGCCGTCTAAGTGTAGAGACTACAATCGAAAATTAACAAAAATCACGACTTTTTTAGGATTTCTAATTTTTTTGAGACACTCAGACGGCGGGGCATTACACAAAACTAATTTTTCTTGATTTCTAGAGGTGGTAGCTAAAATATGTAGCTATTTTCGAAGCGGCACAAGCAACCGTGTAGAGACTACAATCGAAAATTGACAAAAATCACGACTTTTTTAGGGTTTTTAATTTTTTTGAGACACTCAGACGGCGGGGCATTACACAAAACTAATTTTACTTTTTATTTTTTATTTTTATTTATTTATTTCAACGGATATACCATTTACATTTGAACAATAAATGTTTTTACAATAATTTCATAAAAATCTATTTCATAGGTATAAACTTAACAAAAACTATTTTAATTTTATTTTAACAACAAACTTAAATTCTATTTTTTAGGAACTCATTTACTGTTCTATTGAACTGTCTAAGAGATACATTAAATATATCAATATCTAATTGGTTTATTGAACTAGCCATTCTGTTCAAAGGCGAGTTCATTCCATAATTAGTTCTATGAAAATCAATATGGAATAATGAAAAATTTCTTGTTGTCCTTTGAGGAACTTCTAGAGAAACCAATTCTAGTAATCTTGGACTATCCACATTGTTATTCATCAGTTTGAACAGAAATCTAACGTCTAACATAAATCTTCTATTCTCTAAGGAGTCCAAATTTAATAAACTGTGCAGGGAGACATAATCAATATCTTGTTTCGGTATTTTAAGTTTGTAATTAATAATTCGTAAAAATCTTCTCTGTATTTTTTCCAGAATTTCCCTGTATTTAAGATAATGTGGATTCCAGACAGGACTGGCATATTCAACAATAGAACGAATTAAGGAGCAGTACAATAACTTGAAACAATAAATGTTATTTACCTCCTCCAAAGTGTGAGACATAAACCCTAATAATCTTAAACATTTATTGTAGCTGTTTCCAATATGAATACTAAAGTCCATTTTATGGTCAAAAAATACACCAAGATCCTTGATTCTGTCAACACTATTAATTATTACATTGTTGACAGAGTAATCAAATATTATTGGATTCTGCACCCTAAAAAATCTCATAACATTACACTTGTCTGTGTTCAAGGATAAACAATTATTTGAGCACCACAAACTAAAACGCTCAAGATCTTGTTGAACTCCATGACAGTCTGTTATCTCATTAACCATTGAAAACAATTTAAAATCATCAGCAAAAAGTAAAAAAGTGGCATTTTGTATGCATTGACACAAATCATTGATGAATAGATTGAATAACAATAGGGAATTTTCATATTTCTCAAATTATTTTTTTTTAGATACTTCTAGTGATCAGTTATTACATAGTTTTCTTTTTTTCCATTTTAATTTATAAGTACGTTGTACGAAATAGTATATTGTTGTATTAGGAGTAGAAGCTTTACTTAAAAAAGTGCTTCTACTCCGTATGCAACACGCTATTTTTTCTCCAAACGAATGTGGTAAGCTCGGGGGTAACTGGATGGTTGAGCGGCAGTAAAAGTACGAGCGGCACTAAAAGTACTTTTACTGCCGCTCCAGCGGCACCAAATAGTTATTTATGATATAAGTGCTAAAAGTGACATTTTATTTTGTGAAAAGGGAAGTTTGGGACACGACGCCGAAGGCGGAGTGTTCCATCCCTTTGAACAAAATAAAATCACTTTTAGCACGAATATCATACACTATTTTTTCTAGAAACGCACTAAAAGTGATTACTTTTAGCACTAGTGCTAAAAGTAATCACTTTTAGCACCAGTGTCATAAAATGGCATTTTAGACACTGACAGCATCCGTTAAAAATGACACTTTTAGTGACGTTTGTAGAAAAAGTACTTTTGCTGCCGCTGGGGTTGCCAAGCAGCATAGAAATTAAATTTCTACCACCTTGACAGGTGTTAACCTCCTGGATTTGCCTAGCAACATAGAAATTGAATTTCTACCATCTTGACAGGTGTTGACAAAGTGATGTTTTTTTGACGTTTGGAGAAAAAAAAAATTATTGAAATTCAAATCAAAAACTTTGGCGCGAAAAAACAAAATCTCAATATGACAGCGCTTGTGACGTTAAAATTTTGTAAACAACAAATACGCAGTTAACAAACTCCTGCTGACGCAGTGCTATTTTTGTGTTATTAGGCAATTCAAACCACGTGAAATTCAAGATGGCGTGGCGGCCACACATGGGCCAAAAAACACAAAAAAATATCTAGTTTCTGCCGGAATTAATAGTTCAGGTACCTAGTCAACACATATTTTATTAAATAATGAAAATCAAAGTTGTTAGCAAAACTGTATGCAAAATAATTTAAAATACGCATAAAAACATATCCAAAACAAACTTGCTTGGCCGCCACGTCACATTGAATTTTCCGTTTTGACAGATGGATTGAATTGCCTAATTGACCTTTTGTTCGGACGCCATATTGCGGTGCGCGAACATAGTTGCCAACAGTAGAAAAAAAATTACCAGCGTTCTGTCAACTTTAAAATCCAAAGTTAGTGAATAAATTACATTTAAAATTTAAATTTGCCGCCTATTACGAATGTTTTTGGAAAGAGAAGCTATCAATTTTAGCTTGTATTGGGCAGAATAGAAATAATAAAATATTTAGTTGACAGCCCGCTATAAGTAATTTTTGGTTTTCTTGTCTTGGCAACTATGTTCGCGCACCGCAAAATGGCGTCGAAACAAAAGGTCAATTCAAGTGTGTTAAAGTTTGCTTTTTGTGAAAATTGTCGCAATGGATGAAGAATATTGTAAAGGACTGCTTTTATAAGTTTTTTTTTACTTGCAAGTTCCCTATTGACAGGTTTGTTTACAGAATCGTGACGTCAAAAAAGGTAGCCATCATGGAAGCATCGTTTTGGCGGGAATTTTTTTATTTCAAATTTAGTATTATTTTTTGTGTAAGAAGGGCGATATCAGTTAAATAAAAACTGGTCATATGAATATTGTGCAGTATAAACTATCGATTTA